GGGAAATGTCTTGAAAATTGGAAATCACACAATCTTCAGATTTAGCACTCAGTCATATGCAGGGCTATTTTTGGGCAGGAACGCACAGGAACGGAGTTTCGTCTGGCTCCTGAGTTGGCCACGCCCAGTAGGAACTCATTAGCATAATAGGCCACACCCAACAGCCAGAAACTCATTAGGATTGGCTACACTAGGAGTGTGTGGCCTAACATGCAAAGGACTTCCTGCTACAAAAAAAGGCCCTGGGTTTTGACAACAAACAAGGTAAACAGAATAAGAAGGGAAAGGTGGGTGTGGCTGGATGACCACACTTCTGGTAACATGGGGGTTGTGCTAATGAGCTGTGCTGTCAGGGGTGTGGCCTAATATGTTAATGAGCTTCTGCTATTGGGTGTGGCCTATTATGCTAATGAGTTCCTGCTGGTCTTTTTCTACAAAAAGAGCCCTGAGAACTGGAATGTTTGCTCAGCTTCCTAGGAACATTCCCTAGCATACCTTCTCGAGAATCAAACGAGAGGTTTGTGGCACCTTCAAGATGAACAGAAGTTATTCTGGCATAAATTTTAGACTGGAGAACCCTCCTGCCAATATAGTGTCCACACAGAAATATAACTCAAATCGCCACCTTTTCTACTTCTCCTGATAACAAAGCAGAGGAAGCTTTGCCCTTTAGTTCATCTCTGGGCCAGGACAATCTTCACCCATATGCCAGGCTGCCAGGAAGGTTTGATGTAGTGGTTAGGAGCGCGGACTCTTATCTGGGAGAACCGGGTTTGATTCCCCCACTCCTCCACATGCAGCTGCTGGTATGACCTTGGGTCAGTCACAAGTTCTCTCAGAGCTGTTTTCTCAAGGGCAGTCCTCGAAAGAGCTCTCTCAGCCCCACCGACCTCACAGGGTGTCTGTTGTGGGGAGAGGAAGGGAAGGAGATTTTAAGCCACTCTGAAACTCTGAGTGAAGGGCAGGGTATAAATCCAATCTCTTCTTCTAAGGCTGCAGGAATAGAACAAGCAACCAAAACTGGCAGTCCTAGAAACTATTTCTCCCGCAAATCTGGCAAAATCATCCGGTGCCTCAGTGGAGAGGAGATCCAGCTTCATTCTGATTCCCGCAGGTTTGTGTTCAGTCCCATAGCTGGAAATGGTTTGCCCTCTACTGGTCATTTATTAAATTACCCCATAGACATAAGGGGTGTATCATGAATTGAAGGCAGGGGCCTTTAACACTTAAGTGCAGACAGAAATGCAACAGAGAGAGTCCGTGGTGGGGATGCTGAATCTACTGATTATCCACGGCTCAGTTCAGTAGTAATGAGATCTTTACATAAGTAATAAGTAATGTTTACGTAAACTAACTACAGACAGTATGATTGTCTGAATGCGGTCCACTCCACTAACTGCAGTTAGTTGGGGCTGGTCAAACCAAGATCTGAAAACATGGTATGAAGTTAGCTTATAAACCACAGTTGGCCTTAACTACGGTCTCATGGAAAGGACAAACGCAGACATTGTGGCTTAATCCTAGCATCATCTGAAAGCCAGTGTGGTGCAGCAGCAGTTGGAGTATCATAGGAGGATCTGGGAGACCCAGGGTTTGAGTCCCCACTTTGTCGTGGAAGCTCGCTGGGTGACCTTGGGCCAGTCACGCACACTCTTTGGGTCCCCAATGGGGAGAAACGCTGGGTATAAATGAAGTAAATCAATCAATCAATGCACTCCCTGGCTCTACGCAGACGCACCCACAGGAAAGGTGGTGAAAACTGTGTTTGTTTAGGAAAACCAGGATTTGAGTGATCATCTACTACAAACTAAATCCCAGTTTCACAGAGTAATCCTGGTTACTTGCAGAAAAGACACTCAGGGTTTTAAAAAAGAGAGTACGTTTTGTGTTATGTCTGAACCAAACATGTCTATCATGCAGTTCTCAAAAGCACAGATTCTCTATCAGAAAATTCAGAAAAGCGACAACCTTATTGGGGGGGAATGACACAAAATGAACTCTCTTTTTTAAAACCCAGCATACCTCTTCTCCAATTGCAACTGGTATCTGCAGAGGTTACAGCTTTCGCAGCCCACATTTCCCATCGATTCCCCTGACCCCGGAATTCAAATGTGTTTTAAAGGAAGCAGATTCTCACGTTTGAGGTGAGAAAAATCTGAAAAACTTCTGAGTGCTTCAGTCAGGTTGTCATTAGGGAACCTGGCCCAACTGGAGGAGAGGACAACAATATAAGCCACCTCGGGTACTCACTGCACAGAAAGGCGGGGCATAAGAGAATTAAATCAATAAAATTCAGGTTCCCAGGGCATAAAGATGCAGAAAATAGGCCAAAAGCCAAATGAAACAACTGATTCCAGACACTAAAGTTTCGTTCACACATTCAGAGAAAGCTGTGGATAAAAAGTTCTGTTCTGTTGCGTAAAGATCTTTGTGCAAACAGAAAACTAGCAGAGCTGGGGGAAGAAGGCTGAGGTTCCTCTCTTTGTGCTGGTTACTATTATCATCATTACAGGGAAATTTTAACAAAGGCACAAAAAGGGATCTTCCACTTACAGACTGAAGCTGTACAACTAAACAATTTAACTAATGATCATACGGCATTGTGTGTGGAATAGCCAGGAGATCCCAGAAAGGATTGTTGGCTGCCGAAGCTGTCGCTTTTTTGCCACCACTAGGTGGCAAGCTAATGCTTACTTTTAGGCCCAGAGTGCTGTGACTTGCCTAAGGTCACCCAGCTAGCTTCAAGTAGGGAAGTACGGAATCAAACCGGGTTCTCCAGATTAGAGTCCACCACTCTTAACCACTACACCAAACTGGCTCTCAGTTGTACGACATAACCTAATAATAGAGGAAAAGTGCCTGTGGCTGGATATCGCGGGGGGGAGGCGTTGCTAACTGCCCTGGCACAGTTTCATCCGCGATTACGCAATCAGACGCGCCAGCGGCACACCACGGGTCCTTCCCTTGGTTCCGGCGGGTAAACAAGGGACCGGAGGGGAATGCTGTGCGCCAGCGCGATCATACCACCGGCGTATGGAGGCAGCCCGTGGCAAATGTTTACTAGTACCTTGGAGGTACTAGTTTTTTAAGGCACATTGTCGGCGGTAAGCCACGGGTGCGCTCCACTTCCCAGATGTTGGGGTGTGATCGCGCCCGGATAATCCGCCCACCATCCGTGCCTCTCCTGCGGCAACGTTGCCATGTGACCGGGGCCTGTATATTTATTTATTTGCTTACTTTATTTGTATCCTGGCTTTCACCCCAGTGGGGAGACCCAAAGTGGCTTACATCATTCTCCTCTCCTCCATTTATATCCTCACAACAGCCCTGCAAAGTAGGTTAGGTCTAGGGTGTGTGACTGGCCCAAGGTCACCTGGCCAGCCTCTATGGCACAAGTGGGGATTCGAATCTGGATTTCCCAGATCCTAGTTTGACACTTTAACCACCACCAATGTTCCCTCTAAGCTGTGGAGTCTTTTGAGCAGAAATTCTACCTTGTGAGCTACTGGCATTAAAAGTTGTGAGCAAGCGATTTGGCTACTTCATATATTAGTTTGCTCTGGAGCCATCCTCCCTGAGCGGAGACAAAAATCTGTGAGCTGGAGACTAAAAAAATGTGAGCTGGCTCACACTAACTCAGCTTAGAGGGAACACTGACCACCACGCCAACTGGTTCTCAGGCTGGTTTTGCCATGTAGCTGGGGGGGGGGGGGAGGGGGGGGGGGGGAGAGACTATTTGCTTACTAAGAGCATTGGCGATCTGGCTTACAAAAAAGTGCTGGGGTGGGGTGTTTAACCCTTTTGCTTCCTGATAAAAACCAGCCTTTGCGCTCTGGAGGGGAAGAGAGGAGGCAGCTCCAGCGAACACAGGTGGAGCTATTTGGCTTTGCCTCACGTAAGGTAAAGGTAAAGGTTCCCTTGCTCGAAAGCCAGTCGAATCCGACTCTAGGGTTGCGGTGCTCATCTCCGTTTCCAAGCCGAAGAGCCAGCGCTGTCCGAAGACGTTTCCGTGGTCATGTGGCTGGCATGACTAAACACCAAGGCGCAAGGAACGCTGTTACCTTCCCGAAGTGGTACCTATTTATCTACTTGCAATTTCTTGCTTTCGAACTGCTAGGTTGGCAGGAGCTGGAACTAGAGATGGGAGCTCACTCCGTCATGCAGCACCCGGGTCTCGAACTGCTGAACTACTGACCTTCCACAGGCTGCAGTTCAGCGTCTTAACCACTTGAGCCACCGCAGCTCCTCATGTGGTGCCCTGTAAAAGCACTAGTGGAATGGGGCAGCACCTGACTAGGGTTGCCAGCCTCCAGGTGGGGCCTGGGGATCTCCCGCTTTTACAACTGCTCTTCATCTGACAGAGATCAGCTCCCCTGGAGAAAATGGCTGGTTTGAAGGGTGGACTCTATGGCACTCACTGTACTATGCTGAGGCCCCTCCCCTTCCCAAACCCCGCCCTCTCTTGGACCCACCCCCAAAGTCTCCCGGTATTTTCCAACCCAGACGTGGCAACTCTCCTCCTGACCCGTGAACGTGTGAATGGGAATGGATCTGCCTCGGGGTGAAACGGCCAGTTGCATTCTAAACAGGCAAGGTTAAGGCAAACAACGCAGAACTGTGGGGGACCTGCGGTCAAGAAGCCGCCTGTTGCATTGGCGTTACCGATAACGGGGTGGAGACTGCACAAAGCGAAGTCAGGCCGAACCAGGCGGCTAGATCACGGGCGAGAAGGAGGGGGCCGGCCAGGCCCTCCAGAAGGGCGGGCGGAGGAGGCGGCGCCCGATAGCGCCCGAGCGTCAAAACAGTTTCTCCAACCCACATTTCAGAGAAGCGTCCGGTGATCAACAACTTGGGGAGGAGGGGGGGCCCTTCGGCTAGACTCCGGAGCTGCAGGCGAGCGTTCCCGACGACCCACCTGCTGCGTGGCAGAGCGCTCGGGGCGCCAAGCCTCTGGGACGCCCGCGGGCGCCCTAGTCCCCCAACTCGTGCCCGCCTTTTAGCTTCTCCAAACCGGCCGCGTCCCGTCGCTTCCCTGCGGCCACCGGCGGCTGCCCTCCGCCCCTCCCCTCGTCTCCGCTCCCGGGCCCGCCCTTTCGGAGCCAGCTGTGTCTCCCCCCGCCCCGGGTCGGGTCCGCAGGAGTTGGGCTGCGGCAGCCGCGGCTGGAGGAGCGAGAGACGGCCGAGCCGCGCGGGGCTTCGACGGCCACGGATCGCCTCCACCACGCGGGGGCGCACGCGGCGAGGTGAGCTCTCGGACGCGCGTGGCGACGCGGGGTGGGGGGGGGAGGTGTCGGTTTGTTTGGACAAACTTCGGAAAGTCCTTTGGGGAATCGGCTTCCCACGCCCTCCCCCCCTCCCAATTTTGCAGAACTGGGGGGGGGGGCGGACATACCAAGGCCCCCTCTAAGCTGTGGAGCTCTGTGAGCAAACAATATATCACAAGGCTCCCTCTAAGCTGTGGAGTCCTGTGAGCAAAAATTCTACTTGGTGAGCTCCTGCCAAGGGTGTAGACTTTCCAATTTCGGGGGGGGGGGGGCTGGGGCTGGGCCAGAGGCATTGCTTTGCTAGGAACAAGGGTGGCTCCCGGGGGAGGCTGAGCACCTTCCTGAAAATTTCGGCTGGGGCTGATGCCCCGCCGCCCCCACGAAGATTACGCCTATGCGAGCGAGCGATTTGGCTGCTGCATGAATTCGTTTGCTCTGGAGCCCTCCCTTCCTGAGCTAAGACAAAAATCTGTGAGCCGGAGGCTAAAAAACTGTGAGCTAGCTCACACTAACTCAGCTTAGAGGGGACACTGGGACGGACCCAAACACAGTTGCCAAATGCAGCTCCTCGGCCCCTCCGCTGGAAGCTGGGGAGAACTGGGGAAAGTACCAGAAGAAAAGATAACAGCTTTGAGAGCAAAACTTGCTTAGAAGGGAATCCCGCGGAGCTCAAGGGCAATCGTTTTCTCTCCGGAAAGAGCGAGAGAGCTCCTGACTTCTTTGAATTGGGGCGGTAGATCAGCGAGTCTTTTCCCTAAGGCCTCATGGGGAAGCGGAGGGTTATGGGAAGGTCAGAGGGGGTTATTGGGGGAGAGTTGGAGGGGGTCATCTTGGATCTGAGCTGCGTATTCAACAGGTGGCCCTCTGAGAAAGGTGGGGGGGCTATTGTAGGAGCATGCAGGGCAGATCTGACGTTTCGATTGAGCGTTCTGCAGGGCCTGGGAGGAAAGGAACTCTGGAGTCCGGCGGTGTATTTATTCATTTAGTGTATTTTCATCCCAGCCTTTTGACCAAGAGCTCAGGGCAGTCCACGTCATTCTCCCTTCTTCCACCTTTATCCTCACAAAAACCCTGTGAGGTAGTCTGGGCCAACAGCTCACGCCCGTGGCGGGGGGGGGGGAGTTGAATCTGGGTCTTCCAGATCTTAGCCCAACTCTCAAACCTAGACATTATCGTCTCTGTTCTTTCCTTCATGGAGCCTTGAACCAATGTGCAACTGGCACCAGTTCAACAGGTGAAGTTCAACAGGTCTTTCATGTTGGGGGAAACTCTACCTGTTGAATTTTTTTTTTGCCTACCGTGCAGTTGTAAAAGGACACCCTGCATAGCAGTGGAGGGGGGAGGGGCCTGGCAATCGTACGCAGGGAAACCTTGGAAATGTTTCCGGAAAAACCTGGTTGAATGAGGGGCTTGTGAGTATGCATCCAAAGTAAATGCCAAGCCAGCATGTTTTCTGGCTTCCAACTACAATGTCTCCCTTTTTATCCTGCGGTAGCAACATTCCCAAGTGCTGCATTCCCAAATGATCGCATCACTTGTGGTGATGGGGAGCAGCAGTCAGAAAATCCAGTGAGGATCTGGGAGGCCCAGGTTCGAATCCTCCTTCTTCCATGAATACATGAAGCTGCTTTATACTGAATCAGACCCTTGGCCCATCAAAGTCAGTATTATCTACTCAAAGATGGACAGTGGCTCTCCAGGGTCTCAGGCGGAGAGCCAGTTTGGTGTAGTGGTTAAGTGTGCAGACTCTAATATGGGAGAGCTGGGTTTGATTCCCCATGCCTCCACTTGCAGCTGCTGGATGACCTTGGGCAAGCCATAGGTCTGTCAGAACTGTCCTTGAAAGGGCAGTCCTCAAAAGAGCTCTCTCACCCCCACCCACCTCACAGGGTGTCTGTTGTGGGGAGGGGAAGGGAAACGAGTCTGTAAGATGCTCTGAGACTCCAAAGGGCAGAGTATAAATCCAATCTCTTCTCTTCTTCGTCTTTCCCATCACCTACTGCCTGGTCCTTTTAAATGGAGATGCTGGGGATTGAACCTGAGACCTTCTGCATGCCATGCAGATGCTCTGCCATGGAGCCACAGTCTGTCAAAGCTTGCCAGGCCACCTTGGGCCTGGTCATACTCTCTCAGCCTACCCCACCTCACAGGGTTGTTGTGAGGATAAAATAGAGGAGAGGAGAATGTTGTAAGCCATTTGGGGTCCCCCTTGGTAAGTAAGGGGAGGTATAAATAAATAAACAAACTTAGATGTAAAAGTGAGTAGCCTTATAATTAGGTAACCACCAGCTCTCCTGTGGCCAGCCTAGGGAATGTACACTTCAGGTATCCCATTGAGCATTGAACCATCTGTGGGAACCAACCTGCTTTCTTCTCTAATCAACTGACTTCTTCATTTCTTCATCCGAGCTCACTCTGGAAGCTCTTCTCAACTGCCAAGCATCTGAAGTGGGCCTCAACATGGTGCCTATGTGATTGGCTGTGCAGATATATATATAAACACATTGCCTTGGTAGCGGCTGCCACCCCAGGGTGAGGATCTTCACTGTGTGACTGAAGGGAAGCTGGAGGCAGCCATTTTGTCACTAGTTCTACCTCCTGTGGCAGCCATTTTGTGAAAGGCCCTTGCTCTGATCATTGGCAGAGGGCACTTCCCTGGTTACGGACTAAGATATTCCACAGTGGGCTTTGCTGCAGGAAATACTGGGTGTGTTTGTAAGCACTCAAGGACTGCATGTTTAATTCCCCCCCTCCCAGCAGCCTCGTCTTCTGCCTTTCTGTTTAAAAGCATCCAGGGTGTGTAGCGATCAATAATAGAACAGCAGGCTACGGTCCTGCTAAAAGCAACACCGAGAGGCAAAGGAACGTGCAAACCTCAAGGCAGTAATAGTCCATTTCATCTTTTTAGAACAGATGTGTTTCGAGGTTATGCCAGAAGGCCTGCAGAGATGATGCCGTTCATACCTCCAGTGGCAGAGAGTTCCGCAGTTTCAGGACAGCAGTTCAGAAGGCCATATCCCTGGGTCTTTGCCAGCTGTATCATGGATAGTACAAGTTCCTGTAGCATGGATTTTCCAGCTAACCTCGCATGGGGTTTTTATCGCACTAAGTACCAGTGTATATACACGTGAAAGGGCTCATAGACCCAGATGTAAGAAGAGGAGGAGAGGAGATTGGATTTATACTCCACCCTTCACTCGGAGTCTCAGAGCGGCTTACAAACTCCTTTCCCTTCCCCTCCCCACAACAGACACCCTGTGAGGTAGGTGCGGCTGAGAGAGCTCTCTCCAGAACTGTCCCTGAGAGAACAGCTCTGACAAAACTACGGCTTGCCCAAGGTCATCCAGCAGGTGCAAGTGGAGGAGTGGGGAATCAAACCCCGTTCTCCCAGATTAGAGTCTGCATACTGGTCATTTGGTAGTGATCGATGCAAACAGCAAGTGCTGTGCAGTGGTTAAAGTGTCCGACTAGCACATGGAAGACCCAGGTTCAGATCTCTACTCTGCCACGGAAGCTCACTAGGCGAGCTTCGGCCAGTCACCGCTCTCAGCCTAACCTCCCTCACAGGGCTGTTGTGAGGATAAAAGGGAGGAGAAGAGACCGATGCAAGCCGCTTTGGGTCCCGTTTGGGAGACAAGCAGGGTATAAAGGCACTGACGAACAAATAAACAAACATTTTCAGTGCTTGGGCTGAACTCGCCAAAGAGAGTTAGAAAGAGAAGATCCCGCGAAGCGTGAACGACAGTGTCTCTCTTTTTAGACGATTCCCGGAAAGTTTTCTCCAGTGACCGAGAGTTGGGGAACAGGGTGGAATCCAAATGCCACCCTTCAGCTGTTTGTCCCCTCCTGTTGCTGCGTGCCTTCTTTGGAAGGACTCGGGATTGGCGCTGTGTGGGGCGAGATGCCAGCGGGGTTGAGTACAAGAGATATTTATAACGCCAGCATTCTGCCACCCCTGATATATTTAGACAAGGGCTGCCAAACAGCAAGATCGGGGACGGGGCTCATCTGAAGACAGAATATTTACTGTCTGCTTTTGCTGCACTGGAAGTCTCTCTGGATCTTCCCAAAGTAAGCTGGAACGGACTGGCTGACAAAGGGAAGTGCCATCAGGAGAACCTCTTTCCACCCCAGCCTGCCCCTGCCTGCCCCTGCCGGTGACCTTCACTCTGCCCATGGCTGTCTGAAGGTCACCTGCTTCCTTAAGAAGGTTCAGATTCCTGGCCTGCCCTGGGAGCTTGCCCTTGGGCCGGTCCCTCTCCTTCTCAGCCAAACCTTCCTCGCAGGGGTGTTGTTGTGAGGATAAAATGGAGGAGGGGAGAGCGCTGTTGTAAGTCGCTTTGAGTCCCCGTTGAGGAGAAGAACAGAGTATATATCTCTGAACAGAACTGTAATGATTCCTTGTTTTATATGTGTGTGTGTCTCTTTAAAAGTTTGGTTGCATGGATGATATTAGAGTGGTTGAAACAGGCAAGTGTGGTGTGATTGGTGATTAGCAGAAAGGGGGAGGGGTTTTGGAAGTGAAAAATGAGTGGAGGAGTATGGATCTCATTCTAGAGTGACAGTTACAGGTCTGACAGTTGATGAAGACAGTTGATATCTCTGGATCTTCCCAAAGTAAGCTGGAATGGACTGGCTGACAAAGGGAAGTGCCGTCACGAGAACCTCTTTCCGCCCCAGCCTGCCCCTGCCGATGACCTTCACTCTGCCCATGGCTGTCTGAAGGTCACCGGCTTCCTTAAGAAGGTTCAGATTCCTGGCCTGCCCTGGGAGCTTAGCCTTGGGCCGGTCCCTCTCCTTCTCAGCCAAACCTTCCTCGCAGGGGTGTTGTTGTGAGGATAAAATGGAGGAGGGGAGGGCGCTGTTGTAAGTCGCTTTGAGTCCCCGTTGGGGAGAAGAGCAGAGTGTATATCTCTGAACGGAACGAATAAAAATAAATATTGAACAGCAACTTTGGCGTTACCTCCAGAGTCCTCTTT